GAACATGATTGTTTTCACTAATATGAATACACAGCTGCTTTAGAAAGAACTTATTTATATATTTTGTTGTTTTCTTATTTTACTATTAACTGTTCAATTATTTTAAAATGGACATATCTTTTCTTTTCTTTTCTTTTCTTTTTTGGAGGGGTGGGGTTCAAAATTTTCCTTATTAAAAATTTATACTTAAGAGCTTGATTTTAAAATTTTGATTAAGTTTTCGAGTAAGGGATGAGCAAACCTTGCTGATTGTATTCTTATTTTTACATGTACAAATATTTTGAGTCACATTTAAATCATCATAAAAAACTGTTTTTTTACATCTCAGTTTCTTACTTAATTTATCATAACATTATTATTTTTCCATATAATTTGTACAAGCACATAGGTAAATCTAATATAATAATTTTATATTTTAATTAATCCAAGTAATTTATTATGAAATTATTAATCCATTATAATAACAACCATAAATTATCGGCTTTTCGTGCAATGCACGGGAGAGTATATATTGATTAGAATTAATGAGGAAAAGTTTAGAACAAAGTGAATCACAAACAAAGACAAGTTTAATTTTAGAGAGTACAACTAATCCACTTCAATTTAATATTACCAATCTAAGTTTTTATTTACACATGGATAATGATATATTGCTTTTCCAAAAGTCTGGTATGAAGGGGTTAAAAATTTTGTTGCATGATAATGAGAATGTGTAAATATACTAGTATACTACTATGAATTATGAATGTAGTTTCTATAAAGGTGTTTAGTAATATGGAAACAGCTAATGTTTGACATATACTCCATCCATTTAAAAATATAAAGAATTTTTAATCAAATTTTACCTCTCAATAAAATAGCTAAATACTTTCAAACTAACCTTATCTTTTTATATTTATCCCTATTAAATATCCTATAATAAATATAAAGTTATTATCAATTGGGACACTTTTGAAAAAATTACACTTCGAAAGATTAAAAATGTCTTATATTTTTTAACATCTAACTCTTCAAAAAAATACTTTATATTTTTGAATGGAGGGAGTATTATTTTATTTGTGATCTAATGTAACATGAATTATATAAGTATGTGGTTGTTACTTATTTAGTTTTGTTGATATGAAATGAATAATTTTACAAACATTTATATGATTAATTTTTTGAAGTTAATTCTCCCTGTGTACAATACAGGAAAGTCAATGTTAGTTGTTTTTAATAAAGAAAAAATAATAATAAAATTTCTTCAAATTATATAAATGATAATTTGATCTTTTAAAATGTTATAAAAATTTTTATTGACAAATTGTGATTTCTTATTTAGTTTTTGCAATTTTTTAAAGAAAAGTTGTTGTTTTTTAAATAAAAGTTGTGAATAGAATTTATTATTTTGAGAATTTATTTTTCAATAATAGAAATTATACTTGATAAATTATGATTTTTTGTTCAACTTTTGTGATTCATAGAATAAAAGTTATTTCTTAACAAAAGTTGTGATTGAGGTTTTTTAAATAATAAAAATTACATTTAACAAATTATAATTTCTTGTTCAACTCTTGTAATTTATATAATAAAAGTTGTGATTTCTTAAATAAAATTATGATTGGGTTTTATTATTTTCAGTAAGAGTAAAATGGTCTATTTTTGTAAAAAAAAATATTGACAAAGTGATCCCTAAAGACTTTATTGATATTATGATATTTTAAGAAATTAAATTATTATTTATATAATTTAAAGAAATTTTGTTATCATTTTTCCTTTAATAAAAAGATACATGTAAATAATACAAAAAATTTACCTGATTTGGTGATTTACAAGCATATCTAGGGAAGATCGAAAGAAGGCGGTTAGAATAATAAGCTTCAAATGGGGCAAAGCGAAAATGGTTGGATACATATTAAAATTATAAAAAAATATTTATAACAGTCATAAAAAGAAGACGTTCATGAAATATATAAAAAATTATGACGTTATAAAATAATTAGTTTTTATTAAAAAATAACGATGAGGGAGTGTATGTTCAGGTCGGGGATTTGACCTTAATCCGACCTAATGAGCCCAAGTGACTCGGGCAAGGTCAATTTAATCCATCGAGTCACTTGCACAACATGCCTGCATCAATTTACATATTAGTAGTTTCTTTTGGCCAATACATATTATTAGTTTTATGATTTATCTCCCATGCATATGTGTGAAAAATCTAGTGCGATTTAAAATCAGTATTTATTTCTATCGTATTTTCTAAAACATTAAAACGCCATAACCAAGATATAAGCATGGAATTACCAGCTGACACTAGAAGTTTTATAGCAGAAACAAATTTAATTGTTCTTGGTTGATTAGAACAAGAACAAATAGGCTTCCACTTTCAATTTTAGAAAATGGGAAACGGAAAAGATTAATTAGTAATAATAGTAATCAAACAATAAATTGGACCCCTTCAAAATTCCTAATGTTAAACATTACTGTTACTTAGTATTATCTATTTTTATGCCAGCATTTAATATCATGCATCTTGATTAATCAGACTAAAAGCAGGTTCGTTTGGTGAATATATCTATTTTTATGTAAACATTATTACACTCATTTTCCTCAAAACTTGATTAAAATATAATTATACTTTTTATTTTTTAAAAAAAAAACACCTCATAAGGAATCGCATAGATAGATAAAATGCATTTATTTCAGCACAAAACTTGTGTGTTACTCTTGTACTCCTCCTTTGAATCCTATTTATAATCATTTTCACGTAGAATCAATAAAAATTTTCAAATTCAATGCCTTTGTTTAAAACTTCAATAAATTTTTAACTTTGTTCTAATAAAATAAGTGTATTTTATCTTACTACTAATGTGAGCATTTTATTAATGAGCAGTTTATAAATATATCTATAAATATTATTTCAGCCAGGAGGAATGCCTCAATCATGATGAACCCGGATCTAATTCATCTAAATTTTTATTTACAAAATTTTAATTTCACATTTTCTTTCATTAAAATTTAATGAGAGTAAAAGTAAAAATTTATGGTGAAAAGTTAAGGAAAAATTATGTATAGATCCTATGGAAGCAACTTATTTAAAAATAAGTCCCATGAAATTCAAAAATTATAGCAAAATTTTTTTGGATCTGAGTGTAATTTTAAGTTGGGTTGAAATGACACTACTACCTTTTAAATATAAAGCTTAGAATGAAAGTATATTTACCATTTATTTATAACTGTAACTTCACAATTTATGAGTAGAACTTCTTAATTCACAAATTCTATTTCGTGTTTTATAAACAATAGACTAAAACTTTATTTACCATTCATTTACAAATGTAATTTCACAATTTGCGAGTAGAATTTCTTAATTCACAGTTCTATTTGTGTTTTATAAACATTAAAATGAAATTTTATTTATCATTCATTTACAATTGTAATTTTAAAATTTTATGAGCGAGACTTCTTAACTCACAAGTCCTATTTTATATTTTATAAATAATGTATTGAAATTGTATTTATCATCCACTTGCAACTATAACTTTACAATTTATAAGTAGAACTTATTAATTCATAAGTCCTATTTTGTGTTTTATAAATAGTAGACTGAAATTATATTTATCATTCATTTATAATTATAACTTCAAAATTTATAAGTAAAACTTCTTGATTCACAAGTCTTATTTTGTGTTTTATAAAAAATAGATTGAAATTGTATTTACCATTCATTTACAATTGTAACTTCAAAATATATGAGTAAAACTTCTTAATTCACAAGTCTTATTTTGTGTTTTATAAACAATACACTAAAATTATATTTACTATTCATTTACAACTATAACTTCAAAATTTAAGAGTAAAACATTTTAATTCACAAATCCTATTTCGTATTTTATAAATAGTAGACTAAAGTTATATTTACCATTTATTTACAATTATAACTTTACAATTTATGAGTATAATTTTTTAATTCATAAGTTGTATTTCATGTTTTATAATTAGCAGACTAAAATTGTATTTACCATCAACTTACAATTGTAACTTCATAAGTTACAAATAGAACTTTTTAGTTTAAAAGTCCTATTTTGTGTTTTATAATCAGTAGAGCTTCTTAATTCACTTTTAAATATTCAAACATTTTTGCAAATTATCATATTTCTTTTCCACTACCCTATACCTAGCAACTATTATGAGAAGTCTAAATGCTAAACAATGAAAACTAAAACTTGAAGTAATGAAAACTTAAATTGAATAATGAAATCTTATCGGTTGATTTAGAGAAAGTCTTTAATGTGTAAGGCAAGTATAAGAACAAAGCAAAATAGCATCAATCACAATTGATCATGATGATAATGATGATGAAGGATCATAGATTTTGCCTTAACACACAATTCCAAGAAGAGAGCGAGCGATATAAATAGAGTGAGCAACATGCGGATTGATTAAGGAGAAGAATGTACGCTGCAAAGTGATACAGAGCAAACAATCGTGTGGTGAACCAATGAAGTGAGCAAGTTTACTATTTAATTTAGATAGAGGGGCATTTTTGACATTGTAACCTAATAAATAAGGGTAATAGTATCTTTTCATCCCAACTTTAAATTACACTTAAATCTCAAAAAATTTATTTATAATTTTTAAATTTTGTAAAATTTATTTTTAAATAAATTGTTTCCATGAAACCTACATATAACTTTTTTAAAAGTTAATCATATGATTTATAAGTATGACCAAAATTCTCAATTAGATAAATATATATATATAATATAAAATTTATTTGTTTATTATATACAACTTACAAGCGTGATTTCTTACAAATCACTAATCTTTTGGGAGAAGCGCCAGACAATCTGAATTAATTCAACAAAGCTCCGAAGTCCATCCCTTTCCTTCAAAGCTTTAAAATTTTTGTTCGTTTTCTCTAAGGAAAATGACAATTGAAGATCCTATAAAAAAATTCATACAAAATAAAGATCTTTAAATTATAAATCCTGATATTTCAATGCTAAAAACTAAAAAGTGCTTGATGTTTTTCAAGGGTCCTTGTTTGTCGTTCTCCCATTTCTTTATCCGCTCCGTAGTACGTTTCCGTTTGGTAAATTACGGTCAGACGGCGTGAGCCGTGAAGTAGCGACGTGAGCTAACCAGGTAGCGAGCACCGACGGGGACGATATGCGACCAATCTGAAGAAAGCAGCTATTGTACAGGAAAAGGACAAGCATTGGTGTAATCTATGTAACCGACGAGAGATTATTTTACATTATTTCGCTTTTTTCGCAATGAGTTAATTGTATCACTACTTAACAACTTCCATTCTATTGTTTTGTAGAACAGCCGACCCAGCAATCATGAAATGTGTCTCCGTGATCTCAACCTGTTTTCTTCTTTTTTTGTGTATTCAGAGGTATGTCAACTGTCACCATCATCTTCTTCTTTGGTCGATGCTGGTGAAATGGCTTAATCAGAAAAGCTTTCTCCCCCTCCCTTCCTTGGATAATTGGTCCGAAAATCTGCTTATTGAAGAGCAGTTTGGCTTATGTTTTATGAATCACCAAACTTAGAGCAGGACAACTTTCTGGAACTATGCAGCTGAAAGCATGGCTGGATTGCTGTTTCCGACTAAACCTGCCACATCTCATTTGTTTTACATCTTATTTATCTAGTCTGCGTCAGTTAGGATGTGTAATTTCTTACTCCTGAAAGATAATGTGCTCAAAATTTACGAGAAAGATATCTTACCTTGCGATCCAATATCTGTTGTAGTTAACTTATGGACCCAAGTTATGTCAAAAGCCAAAAACAAAAGGATTTGACAGTTAGGGTGGAGTGCTTTTTGAAAGCTGATGCAGGGAACCGCTTTTAAAAGCGGATGTTTTGAGCTGATCTTTTTGGCACCTACATGTCAAAAAAAGTTTATAGTAGCTACTTTGAAAATGGATTATTATTATTATTACTACTGCTGCTACTATTATTATTATTTGAGTGAAAGCTGAAAACTTCATTCCAAGAGAAAAATGGATTATTTTAATCAATTGTCTGCCGCGACCTTTAAAGGCAGTGTCGTGGTGAATGATGACAGCTTTTTGCTTTGGTAGACTTATTATATTTAGTCAGCTTCGTAAAGTCTAAACCTAGTTCATTTTGATGGCTGGTCTAATAAGTAATACAATCTGAGTACCTTATTTTGGATGAGTTCAAGATGATTCTAACAATAATGTTGCCTATAATAAGTGTGAGCTTGGAATGTCATTAACATGGTTCTATTTGAGTATCTTGTGTGTTTGGAATTCGAGATTCTTTGACATGCCTGAATAATAAAGATTTTAGCATTTTGAGCTATTGTAGTTTGGACTTTGGACATATACTTTTAGTATACAACCTATAATCTGGGTATCAGCCATGAGTAACAGATGTTTTTCTGTCTTTAGTTGTGAGAAATTAGACTAACAAGTGGCAAATGCTTGAACATAATTTTCTCTTATTCTCCCCTGAAGCATCTGGTTAGACTTCCCAAGTTCCTTTAATCAAACTTATGGTTGATGGAGAAAATATTGTTTTTGAATAGTTGATACTTCATTTCAGCGTGACATCTAAAAATATATCTGACAATGAAAGAAGCCTTCGGCAAGCAAGTACCCCACCAAGAGGTTGGAATTCCTATGATTCCTTTTGCTGGACAATTTCTGAAGAAGAATTCTTACAGAGCGCAGAGGTCATCTCCCAGCGTCTCCATGCTCATGGATATGAGGTATAAATGCTAGAGGCAACTATTAGGGTGAATTTAAGTATTTAGCTGTACCCTGGTTTGATATTGATATGATTTTTTTTCATTCAAAAAACCTGTAGTATGTTGTGGTGGATTACCTTTGGTATAGAAGGAAAGTTGAGGGTGCTTATACTGATTCTCTTGGATTTGATGTGATTGATGGATGGGGAAGAATGAGGCCTGATCCACAAAGGTGGCCTTCTTCTAAAGATGGGAAAGGGTTCAAAGAAGTGGCTGATAAAGTACATAGCATGGGTTTGAAGTTTGGGATTCATGTTATGAGAGGGATAAGTACTCAAGCAGTCAATGCAAACACCCCTATCCTTGATCCAAGGAAGGTATTGCTCCACATTCCCAATTTTCTACTAAGATATGATACATGATAATTTTTTTGATTGCTTGTTTCTTATCCTCTTTAATGATAGTACTAATCAATGGGCCACGTATGTGACCTATATTACCTAAAATTCATCTTGAGGAGGATATGCATAACTTTGCATGATGATGGTAGGTGATTTTTTTTTCCCTTTTTTGGATAATTATTTGTCAAATAAGAAAATGATCTAATATTGAGCTTGGTCTACTCAGATCTTCGGTGTTTGTTTTGTTTTTTGTTTTTTGTTTTTTTGACCTTTCAGTTCATCCTTTCCTAATTTACTAGGGAACAGAATCTGGTAAAGTGTGGCGAGCAAAGGACATAGCAATCCCAGAAAGGGCTTGTGCATGGATGCCTCATGGTTTCATGAGTGTAAATACGAAGCTTGGGGCTGGAAGAGCCTTTTTGAGGTCCCTCTATGAGCAGTATGCTGCATGGGGTGTTGATTATGGTATTCATTTTATGTTTATATATCCTGCTATGTCAGAGTATCTGTCATTATATTGAAAAAATTTCTGATGGATTTAGACATTGCTTTCAAGGTGTCATCCTCACCTAATTGAAGCATTTTTCCTGTCTGTTTCATCAAGATATTTATGTGCTTGTGAGAGACAGAGAGAGAGTTGGTATTTTTAATTTTCCTCCAACTTTTGGTGAAGTTCTAATATTATTGGAAACTTCTATCTCAAAACACCTTGAGACAAATTCGGTTTTCCTCTAGAGCAACACTTAAGAAATGACTAATTCTGTGACTAAAGATTCCCTTTTTTTCCTCCAAGCATTCCAGACATCTAGGAATGACTAACATCTACAAAGCATAAATTGGTTATCAATTTACGTGTCAATTTAAGCATTATGTGTGTGAAAAGAAAGATATAAAGTCATAGGAGAAATCTTAAGCAGTACTGCTTGTAAGTCTTCTGCAACTTTGACGCACATTGACTTTTTTCCTTTCAGTGAAACACGACTGTGTGTTTGGCGACGACTTAGATTTGAATGAAATAAGATACGTTTCAGAGGTATCATACAGTTTGCAAGTCCTCTTTATCTTTTTATTTGCACTCACATTATGCTGAATTCTTCTATCTTTACGTCCCCTCTCCCAAAGAAAAGAACACAAATAAATGGAAGGTCAGAATTATTTCGGAAAGGACATGTTTGGCTTGCTTACACGTTGATATGCCATGCCAGATTCTCAGGGCACTTGATCGCCCCATTATATACTCTCTGTCCCCTGGAACCAGTGTGACACCAGCAATGGCCAAGGATGTCAGTGGACTAGTTAACTTATATCGCATAACAGGAGATGACTGGGATACATGGGGTGATGTTGTGGCTCATTTTGATGTGACAAGGTGAGTAAATGTTGTATTGAAGTTAATTTTGACAACCCATCCTCCCGAGTACTTAGCAATTGCGTTACTTATTTTATCTGTTTTCAGTCACTTTTGTCTTTTTATTCATGTAACTTCATTTTGTTCCAAATCAGGGATTTTTCTACTGCTAATATGATAGGAGCAAGAGGTTTAAGGGGATATTCATGGCCTGATTTAGATATGCTACCATTGGGATGGCTAACTGATCCAGGTGATTAATTTGCTTAGGCTTTTCCTTGTCCAGAATGACTATCATGGTGACCTTTACGCTTGTTGGGTTGGTGATAACTGATGGGTTAACTGAATCTACTGGCTGCGTGAAGCATTCTCTGCATATATATGTATATATATTATTAAAGTTTATAATGAGAACACAGTCGGTGCTAAATCTGTTGGAAAGCATCTGAAAATTTAGAAAAATTGTGCATCCGTTCATCTCATATGGTAAGAAACTACTACGAACTGCTTTAATTTTAAGATGTCGTAAAACTATTTCTCCTTTTCTGTCTATATAGGTTCAAATGCAGGTCCACACAGGTATGGACGCCTTAATCTAGAGGAGCAAAAAACTCAGGTATGCATGAAGTATTAGTGGCATGCTCTCCAACTTACACATGTACCTAACGTATTCCCTACAGATGACTCTGTGGGCTATGGCAAAGTCTCCTCTCATGTATGGAGGGGATGTGCGGAAGCTTGACCAAACGACATATAATCTCATCACAAATCCAACTCTTCTGGAGATTAATTCTTTTAGCTCAAATAATATGGAGGCATGTGGATTTTTGTTTTTTTGTTTTTTTTTCTCATGGTCTTTGGTGGTGGCAGGGGGAATAGTGTGGGTTTGTCAGATTAGTGTCTCATCAGTATTGCTGCATTGACAGTTTCCATATATCACTAGCTTGATGAATATGGAGATTCAAGGACATAATCTTGCCGGGCAAATGATAGGATCTAAGAGAAGTAGGCAAACATCAAATACACATTTAATTGATCTCACTGGCTGTACTGAGTCAAAGGCAATTGGTTGGTCTATTGAAACTCTTAACGAACATGTGGAAAGAATCTGCTGGACAAGGAGCTCAGGAAACAACCATCAGGCACCTTTCTGTGTGCATAAGAGAGAAATTCGTGTGGCATTGTAAACACACTTTATCTTTTTCTGTTCTAATTGTCTAGGTCTTCTTAAAAGATTATTTGTGTCCATGTTGACAACAGAAATTGTTATATTGGTGTTGATGCAGAGAAAAGAGTACAAATCAAGAAGACTATAGAAGGAAACATCATTTAGCTGCAGCCAACACTGAGCAACTTTGTCTTGAAGCTTCTCCAAAAAGAAAGCTTACTTCTAAAGAATTTAAGAGAGGCACATTTTCTCCTTGCAGATGGGATGCAAATCAGGTATGTCACAGTCCATATTTCATTGAGAAGTGTCTTGTTTATTTTAGAACGAGTTCAGCTTGTATCCCATATTACCTTTATTGGAAGCTGACGTTTCCAGTCTTGACAGATGTGGGAATTGAACCCTAATGGGACCCTGGTAAATAGTTATTCCAGCCTGTGTGCAACAGTAGATTCTGCAAAAGGTGAACAATTGTACTTTTCTGCATCTTTCAATAATGACTAGATTTGTTTCTAGAAGATGTCTAGTTATGTCCTTTTGTCTGTTTCCCTAATGCAAGCTGGCCTACAATGCAGCTAAAACTCATACTCTTCATGGGATTCGTTCTTGGATTGCAAAAGGAAGGCGAGGTCTGATCCTGCAAGAAGAACTTATTCTCATGTTTGTTAATTTTCTTCAGTTTCCCCCCAACTCCAAACATTTGGATAGAAAATTACTCATCACGAAACAATAATCATAATCCTATTTGCATGTTCACATCCAATCAGTCTCCTCTCTCACACCTGAAAACCAAAGTCTTGATTCCCTCAGTCAGTGGCAGAGGGATGGGAAACTAACAGAGCCCATGATTATCATTACTTTCTGAATTAATATTTATAACTCATTTTTTGGTAAAATTTTATCTGAAACCTAATTGTCATTAATTCTTTGTTTTAGGACTTTACTGTCATTCTCCCTTATAATCAAATCCAGGCTGCATCCTTGCCCCCAATGTGCATGTGTACTTTATTCATTCGGTGCTTGCAGTTATTGATTTGAAGTTTCTATTTGCTCACTCTTGCCGTTACATCTCTGTGTAGGAAAAGTCTATGTAGCTTTCTTCAACCTAAATGAACAGAGGACAGTGATATCTGCAAAGGTGTCAGACCTGGCCAAGGTAATTCCTGGCAGCTATAATGCCTGTAAGGGCAAGGAAGTGTGGAGTGGAAAGGCCATTAACACAAAACACGGGACGCTTTCAGCGGAAGTAGAAAAACATGGGTGTGCACTTCTTGTCCTTATTTGCCACTAAGACACGCCTCTTGCCGAGCCTTAAGGTTTGCGAATGCAATGTATTATTGATGTAATCATAATTGTGTTAGCCTCTTTGTACCATCTTGGCTTGCCCCAGTTTTTATTTTCCTTTTTTGTTATTTTTATTTTTTATGTTTGTGGGGCAGTGGTGGGGGAGTTGGGAATAACCAGAAAGCATATGCTTTTCTAAGGTAATTGTGGAATCCATTTTGTTGGGTTTCAAATTTGAAGCTTGATAAGAACAGAAGGATCGGTGTTCCCTAAAGAAAAATATTAGAGTAATCTACTAGGGGCCGCCTAGTGTTCTTTTTTCTTTTTTTTTTTTTGTTTTGTTTTTGGGGGCCCCAATTATGTGCTTTATTTTTAATTGTATTAAAAAGTTCATTTTTTTAGTTAAAGTAAGGCCATAGGCCATAGGCAAATAAGTAAAGCACCCACTAAGTGGTGGTAGTAATAATAAATTGTAGTAAAAGGTTGATTATTGATTTCATTCATAAAATAAACTTAAATTTAGTATATTTAGATCAAAAATATAATTTATATAAACATAACTTTATAAAGTTTACATCTTTGATCAACTACATCCACACTAGGAGACTTGCTTGAATTTCTATTTAGCTTTGTGAATGCTTAAATTCGAATTAGTCAATACTACTAAATATCATGCCATTGCACTGAAAAGATATAAGTTTAATATATAATTATATTTTTTTCTTCTTAATATAATAATGTTAGTCTCATAAGAGGTGTCAAAGTTAACAACATGAGACAGCCGCATGAAGGACATTATTTTTTAGATAAATGAATGGCATTTATTAATCAACAATAAAAAAGCTTTGATTTCTTCTCTCTTTTTTGGCTGTCTTATTCTTATTATAAAATATTTTTAATTGTTTAATACATTTTAAGAAAAATTAGTTTCTTTTTATATCATAAAAAAAGTGATGTGTTTGGGCTTAAAGTGACATGTTTGGTATTTATTGTTTTGCAGAGAATGATTTATACTTTTATTTTTATCTTTTATTTTAAATAATAATACAACTACATTAAATATTTTTATGCTAATCAAGAAAAGATAAAATTAAAAAAAAGTTATTTATTTATTATAAAGTATATTGCATTTTGGATAAAAAATTATTTTTAGAAGGTGTCCTATAAATAGGATTGGAGGAAGCATGTTGTATATATACAAGGAGTAGTAGGCTTTGTTGATAGTGGTTAATTATTAACTCTCTTGGGATATTGAGTGCAAAAGGTAGACTTTCTTCAATTAAGTTACTACATAACAAAGGTTGTAATTCGAACCTCAATGTTCTCCGTATGGATTACAATATATATCATTGTTAATTAATTCACTGTTTACAAAAATTATTAGATGAAATCATGTTTTTTTAAAAAATTTCAACATTTTTTTTACACTCTTTCAAGAGTTCCTAATAAAATATTTAAAGTCAAAATAAAATAAGCAAGGGTATAAATAGAAGAAAAAATATAACATTTGCCTAATGCTTTATATTTTGGATCAAAGAGCATTTCTAAAAGTGATTTATATTGTAATCTAGGAGCATTTTATTTATCATGGATTTAGATAAGCTGAAGAATACGCTCATCTGTATAAGTAGGGCGAAGAAGTTTTTTTTTTTTTTTTTGGGCCCCCCTCTCTCAGGAAATATTAAACTACGTATCACTTCGTTTTAGGGCATGACATTTGTACTCTTTAAAAAATGACTATAACATACTTCCTCCATTTAAAAATAAAAGGCATTTTTAATTGAATCTCATCCCTCAATAAAATAGTTACTTACTTTCAAATTAACTCTTTCTTTTTATATTTATCTCTATTAAATATCCTATAATAAATATAAAGTCACATCAGACACTTAAAAAAAATAATGATTACACCTTAAAAGACTAAAAATATTTTATATTTTTTAACATTTAACTCTTTAAAAAATATCTTATATTTTTAAATAGAAAAAATATTGTATTATGTTGTATGTACGCATGTTGGTGTTACATAGGTGGTTGCAACTTGTCAGCACTGGTGCGTGATTTGGTTTGACCAGTTGAGCTGATTTTTGTTTAAATAAGTGGAAGAAGAGAGATGAAAAACATGAGAAGAAGAAAAGTGAAGGAGAAAAGGAGGATGGAAGAAAACCAAAGGCACAAATATATATATATATATATATATATATATATATGAAATATCAATAAGATAGTAGAATGAGAAAGAGAAGGAATTGAAAACAAAAAAAGAAGGGGGGGTGGAGTTATGAGAATCAAACTAGATCGACTAGTTTCAATAGTTGAACTTGGAACACTCAATTTAGATATGATGATAAGTTCAACAGTCAATGAAACTGGCTTCAAATCGACCAAAAATTTATAAGATCGGCAGTAGGATTGGCATAATTGGTCACAATTAATATTTTTAAAATATTAATCTATGTATTTAGTTATAATCGATGTTTATCTTTGCCAAATACACATGGGAAAAGAAAGACAAATGAACAAATATTCAAGAAATATGAATGTATATATTCTAAAATTATAAATTGTAAAATAATTGTGTACATTTTGATCGAAGATGATGGAATATTGATGAATATTCATTTCTTTTCATTTTATTTTTTTAATTTAAATGTTCATTTTCATTAATATGGGTGATTTTTTAATTTTAGGTATATTAGTTAAAACACATTCAATTATTCATGTCCTGTTCAATTACGATACCTTCATTAAAACCATGAGCTAAAATTTCATTTGATTTAACAATCGGTATAATTTTCTTAACATTGGGAGAAACAGGAGAAAGAAGAAAGACACGAATAAACTTAAAAAAAAAAATTGAGACCTAATTTAAGTATTTTATATTTTTAAGTGAGGTAATTTTTTTTAAAATTTTTTTTTTCAAGATTGTCCTTCTGATGACTAGCTGTGAACACCCCATTATCTGATGATGTGGCAAGATGTGGGCCCAACCAAACCCCATTTGATTTTTTATCCTTCACGGCCCTTCAATGCCTCCACCCACATGTAGCCTCTTCTTCGTCCTCGTTTTCAAAGAAAACCTCCTTTTATCAGACTTGCTCTTTCGTATTGAACACACCTACATCAATTTATGCGTATCATTCAGAATATTACATGTTTAGGATCGGATCCAATTGTTGGAAAAGAACAATCACATGAATAATTGGGTGAAATGGAATCGAGAAAGACCATGAGATGGATTTCGCAGACGGGTCTGCGCTGGCAAGATGGGTTATGGCGATGATTAGCAATTTGACGCGAGGACTCTTCCCCGATGACCATAAATCCCCCTTTTGCTCCCGCTCGCGCTTTAATATGATGTGTCCCTCTACTCCAAATGGGACGCCAACTAAGATGGTCAAGGGGTCAGACTTCACACCTCTGAAGCTAAGTCAGAATTTGCCAAGGCCCACCTGTTGCCACATCACCAGAAAAGGGGTAGTTCATGGCTAGTGTTAACAAAAGGACATCTTTGGATCTCAAAAAATTACTTTATGAAAAATTATCCATAAGATGTCGAGAAAGCTTAGAAAATAAATATAGAGATAAAAGTAGACCTTAATCCAGTAAAATTATCATGACTTGAATAGGAAAAAATTTTGAGAACTTTAGAAGGAACTAGGAAGTGAGGAACAAGATTGGGGAAGCTGAAGCCAAAGTGACAAAGGCCTAATATTTGGTTGGTACAAAAATATTTTGTAGAAAGAAAATAAAAAATTACCCATCTAATTTTTTTTCCAAGTGCTTCTTTCGATTTTTTTTATAAGTCATTCTTGTTAACCTCACCAATATCAATACAAAAAAAAATAAAAAAATAAAATTATATAAAATTCTAAACTTGCCCCTATATAAAAAAAATTAAAAGTTAATGTCAAGTTACTTTTTTTTCTTTTATGAAGGAGAACTTAAAAAATATTTTTCAAACATTACTTAAAAAACTATACGTTGATTTATAAATAGTACCAAATAAATTTTTTAAAATGTACTATATGAATGAGATTGGAGGGAATATATTTTTATTTTTTTAAAAAACTACTTTTTTTATAAAATGACAAATGATTCAAATACAATTAAAAGGAGAAAAGAAATATAAAAGCAAGAAACTAAAGAAAGAAGGAGAAAGATGGAAGACACGTGTTCGCCTGAATGGGATCGATTTTAAGCTTTCTTTCTACATAAACCACTTTGAAGTTGGTGGGTAGAGAATAAATGTCCCTTGTTATCATCGAGCTAAAACCTTTTGCTGAGAATTCACTCATGAAACAATTTGGTCAATATAGGAGGATGAGATAATGCAAATGAAGATTCACACGAATATAAGTGACAGATATAACCCATAGCAGAGTAGATCAAAGGCATCGAATCTCAAAGTTGCTCAAGGTGAAATACTTGTGTTTTGACCAAGTGAACTTGACAACTTGTTGCCTTTGATGAAGAACAAAAATGTTAATTATTGTGAAAACACTCCCTTTTTTCTTGGGGTAGATGAAGTACCATTTTGGTTCTCATAATGAAAAAAATCTCCTTCTATTAGAATATGCTTGCTTGATGGGTTGCAAGGAGTATTGATATCATATACATGCAAATCTCTTTTATCTCATGTGCAAATATGCTTCAAGAAATTATGTGAGTAATGAAATTCTGATATAGTTATGTTCAAATTAAGCTTGTGACCATTATAAATGATAAAATTTCAAAAAAAAAATGACAATAAATTTCTTTCGAATTATATAAATGATAATTTGATCTCTCAAAATGTCATAATACTAATAAAGTTTTTAGGGACCTCTTTGTCAATAACTTTTTAAGGAAAAAAACCCATTTTACCCTTATTGACAAATTTTAATTTTTTGTTCAATTTTTATAATTCTTTGAAGAAAAATTGTGATTCTTTAAAAAAAATTGTGAATAAAATTTATTATTTTGAGAACTTATTCTTCAACAATAGAATTACACTTGATAAACTATAATGTTTTTTAATTCTTGCGATTCATAAAATAAAAGTTGTTATCCCTTAAACAAAAGTTATGATTGAATTTTATTTTTCAATAACAGAATTTGATAGTTTGTGATTTATTGTTTAACTCTTATGATTTACAGAACAAAAACATAATTGAGTTTTATTAGTTTCAATAAGAATAAAATGATTTTTTTTAAAAAAAAGTTATTGATAAAGAGATTTTTAAGAATTTTATTAATATTATAAAATTTTGAGGGATGAATTTGTTATTTATATAATTTAAAAGAATTTTATTATTATTTTTTAATTTTAAATATTTTAA